GTGGGTAATTAGTCAAAGTGAAACCAATCTCAGTAACCCAATCTTGTTTACCTCCCCTTAAAGAGATATTTAGCAGGAAATTATGGTAAATTGCATTTTTTTTCGTTACATGCATTAAAACTTTTGGCATGCGAACAACTTCTCGTGTCCTATTATTGGATTGGCAAGTAACCCTTTTGATCTATCAAATCCGTCAACGTGAATGTTATATATTGAGCAAGTATCCTTGCCAAATATGGATACAGATTTTCACTGTCAAAATACGATGAATACTGCACTTCCCCAATCACAGCCGGTCATCTATCGATATGTAGACAATTATTAATTTATTACTTGTTTCAAATAAAAAGTGGAAGTGAGCGTAGATTACGGAGAATTGGAGTAGGTCTTAGATTTGCCAGGAATTATAATTATCTAGATGTTAATAGACAATTATGATCGAGAAAGTAAATTTTGCGCTGCATTTGAAGGTGGTGGTAATAGGAGGAGGGTTACTGAGAAGCATCTGAGCTATGCTTGCTTTTAGTGGTTTTTTACTTCTATATCTATCTATTTATATCTACTAGTCGTGAAGCACGACATATCATTTTTTTCTCGCTATACTAATCCCGATTTTAATGCTTCGGTAATATTTTGTAATTTTTTTGGATTACTACAGTTCCCTTCTCTGCTACAGCTTTTTAAAAATGCTACAATATTCCCATGTGCTACAACGTTTTTAAAAAAAATGCTACAGTTTCCAATATTCTGTTTGCTGCAGTAATGCTACTGTAGCATAAATAGTGAATCTTGGATTCTCCCATTTGTATAGATGAGTAGATACTATTTATAAAAGAGAATACATATGTCAAAACTTTTGATTTCCTGTTTTGCCCTTTTGAATTTTGATAATTTGCAATTTTATCATTAGTTATAATTAATCCTTAAATAACTATCCATAACTCTTTATTAAATGCACATCCTACTCATCCCCAAAATATTTGATTAAGAATATAATTATTATCGATAGTTTATAATCTAACATTACATGCAAGTGCTTATATCTACATATAGAATTTTAGGGTGTCAATGTTCACTTTTCGCGCTACCTTAATTACATGTGGGGATGCACCAGGGGGCGCTTTGCAACCTACTTTACTCTCTAAGAAGTTGAAACGACTACTTTGGAGGGCATCAAAGTTTAAGCCATGGGAGAACCACGGTTCTGTAGAGACCAACTAAGATAGAATTAGAGAATGACGTGCCACATTCTTCATTGCTTTGGGTCTTTTGAGCACCAACTGCTAATGAGTCCAAAGTTTGGGCTCAAGACTATAAATTTCTTCCCAATCAGTCACACAATAGTATAAAATAATTAAATAATTATAATAATAAGATGTAGAGTCTAGACTTTTAAAATTCAATTTGAATCAATACATAAACTATGAACCCAATTAACTAGCAAACATCCTTTTTCATTTTCTCTGTATATAATTTTCTATCATCTCTCATGTATAAATTAGCTCTTACATTTTCTTCCACTCACCATAACACCTACTAAGCCAAATTCATACAATTATAAAAGAAAAGCTCAACCAGAACTCCACTTAGATTAGAATGAAAATTTTTGTAGAGCATAAGACGTCGACTTCTTTCGAGGATCAACTTTGCTCAAGCACGTGTGTTAGCAT